CGCTCTTTTCGTTTGAGTTAATTTTTGTTCCAAGAATAGTTTCTAAACTGTCATCTTTTTCTGATTCATTTTTCAGAGCTTGACTGGTATTTTCTTCGGGTGACTCACTATTATCACTATTTATTTCTACTACAGGTTTTATCTCTCCATCATTTATGCTTATAGGTTCTTTATTACTATCGTATTTATCATTGAGAGGTTCCGTTAAATCTTCAGCTGATGCTAATGATATTTGTTCACTGGACAAAGGAGGAGTTGTTTCTGGTTTTGATGGTGCTTTTATATTTAGTATTTTCTCTTTATTATTATTTTCACCTGTGGTTACAACTTGTCCTTTATCATTTACTTGAATTCTTTCATAACTAAAATCACCTAAATCAACATCTTGGATAGCGAGTGGTGTATTATGCGTGCCATTGGTTAGCTTTTCGGGGGTTATAGAATCTTTTACTGGTTTACTACGCAAATAAGATTTTTCTTTAATTTCTGCACTGTTTTCTTGTGAGTGTGTATCTTTATGTGATAGTGTGCCATCGGGGTTTTCATCTGAATCTTCCTTATATCTCAACTTTTCGATTCCTTTAGGTTGTTTGTTGCTTTCGCGATTGCCTTTGTATGTGAACTTATTATCTTCTGAAGAGTTAATATTTTCTCGGCTATCTTTTACTTCTTCTCTTGATTTAGAATCTCTTTCGTCACTTTCATCGCTATATTGCTTTCTCGAATGTAATTGTTGACTGCGGGGGTGAAAATCTTCTTTTTCTTCATATTTTTCAAAACTTTTATCGCTGCTTTCGGAACTGTCGTGCCTGTTGTTTTGGCCTTTAGGAGTGCTATATGCAGAATACTTGCGATCTTTTGAATGGCGTTCTTTGCTATCATCTTTTTCCTTGCTATTGTAATTTTCGCCACTTTCATTAGATTCTAAATTCTCACGACTAGAATTATCGTCATCTATATATTTACTATTTCTTTGACGTTTCGAAGAGTCGTTTCGTTCACCGCTGGCTTGTTTACTTTCCGAAGAATGTTCTCTTTCAGTACTTTCAACACTATTTGATCTATCGCTTTCTTTACTTTCTTCACTCGACCGAGATGAGGAATTTTTGTTGGCATGCACGGTTTCTATGTCAAAATCTGCTAAAGCTGCATTTTGTATTGATTTTCTTGTTAAAGGTTCTGATAATTTAATGTCTTCTGGTGAATGCAAAGTTTCATAGTTAACTATAAGTGGAGCAGTTTTACTTTCGCTCACAGTTATATTTTCATTTATAAGAGATCGTTTTTTCCTCAAACTATTCAAAGGGTGTGGTGATGATTTTTCATTAGTATACGATTTGCCATCATTCTTATACACATATTTCAGTACAGTTTCAGCTTTCGGAATTTCGTTTGAAAGGGCTAATTGCTTTAAGCACTCGTCTGTTGGTTCTTTAAGATCTTGTGTACAATCGTGTACACTTTGGGTATCCTTATTTCGAGTTGCTGTATGGTTGACTGAGATTTGTAAAGTAATAAGGTTATCACTTGGCGTTTGTTGGATTTGCTCTGTGTGGCCACTAGCTGTATTACAATCTGCATCACTTTTTGCGCTTCCTTTTTCTTCATTACCAACAGCTTTAGTAGGTATAGTAGGTGTCGCAAGTAGAGACTGTTCACAATTTGTATTATTATCGTCGATGATTTGCGCATCAGTTATCTGTAAAAGTAAAAATTTTATTAATAAACAACCATATGTATCACATGAATTACGAAAACATTATGTACTTACCAATTTATGGACAGTACTGCTTTTTCTAACTACCTCAGTTCAGTGTAGGTAATGCTTACTACTGTCTATTACAGGCAATAAAACAAATGTTTCCAGAAATCTGATATTTATTCCATTGTATGTACATAATTAATACTATTTTTTTCATGCGATACTAAATGTAACATTTTCAATAGATTTTCTATACGTGCTCAATAAATAATGATGTAAGAGCCCTCCATGAATTGGAAGTAACAAGGTATGGTAGTTTAATATTTTTTATAATTTACATGTAAACAAAATTATTATTTATTATTCGTAGAGAACTTACAATTTTGCTTGTTGATTGTCACATCATTATTTTTAAAACTTACTTAAGTTTCTGTGCTTAAGTGTTCGACAAGGATTGATATTACGTTCACACAACAAGCATACAACTAAGTGCGTACAACAAAAGCAGGCAAGATACTATTATAAAACTAGAACTACCAGACTATTGTGTAATTATAATTAATACTTGGGAGCGGACTCCTATGCTTCTAGCTATAACTCTAGCCTTAGGATTATGAAATCTTAGAGATATTAGTGCGAAATTTCGTTAAATTTTAATACTTTGAGTTGAATGAGTTAGTGACACTGTTTTCAAATGCATAATCATTATTCTTTATCGATTGTTCGTCGTTATTGAAGTACATGTCAAAGTAGTTTAATGAAACGTCATATCGCTATAACATCGCTAAGATATCGAATGCTATGAATAGCTAGTTGGGCAGTCGCCCCCTGGAGGTCATAGCTGCGCAAACAAGTTTTCATCATGACTATATTTTATTAATATTTTGAATCTCTATAATTTATATCCAGTCAATATTATAAATAACAAATATAGTATATATAACGCTATGAGTGTAACTATGACTTATTACAAAGTGTATAGATATTAAAAATATTTCGTTATCGAAAACTAAAAAGTATAAAATTAATGAATAGTTTAAGAAACACTAGAAAAACACACTTTTATAAGTGCACGTAAAAGCAAAAAAATAATTATGGATATAACCGTTTGTAAGTGAACGTGGTAATATTTTTTGGCAATTTGTTCTAATAAGGTGCATCCATATAGGTTTTTTAAAAAAAATAAGAATATATACTGATTTACGTCGATAATCTCTTATCATGATCTTTGGATTTTTTAGCCGTACTGTAGAACATTGTGCTCGGCTACTCAGACGGATCGACGTTGAAACGTGCAATGAATAGCGCCATTAAAGGGCTTGGCTACGACCATAGGCTGCGATATAAACATAATTATATGAATTTATGTATAAGAATATTGGTATAAGAGTGAGTGTTTCATTCACTGTTCGCAATCATCTCCATCTCCATAAAGTGGGAATTTTATTTAACCAGCGCCGTGTGGCGCACTCGTGAGTTGTGTGGTGTGCGTAAGGTTAGATACCTTTACTTTTTACTCTACATGCGGAGCGGGTAGGACTAATGTAATCAGCATGCTTACTCTCGAACGCAATCGCTATCGAATCACACCAATGATTTTTACTATCAGCATATCTAAATTCCTTTTTATTCTTTCCCTATCTTAAACGTATTAAACGTAAAGTACGGCCTGCGCGGCAAAATCCGGCGATGCGACTGTGCTAACGTGTGACGTCACTTCGCAACATTGCCAGCAGGCCAATTCTGCTAATGTTTACGTTATAATCGCATCTCGATAGAATCTCAACGACTTGCATTTTATCATTGTACTACCTACATAAAGTTCAATGTTATTAGTTCAATGTCTTCCTCACACATCGATTGAGTCAGATATATAATAATATTGGAGTTCAGGTAGATAGTACAAGGGCAAAATGCGAGTAGTTGACATCCTATTGACACGCTATTATTACGTAAACGTTAGCAGAATTGGCCTACAGCTCTTTTTTGCTTTGGCTCATTGCGGGCTGGCATTTTGGCTCAATGTCGGTTTCGCTATAAAACAAATTGTTTTTCTTATAGTGAAAGAAAAAAATTGTTAGGAAATATTGTATTGGAAGGAAATATGATTTATTTATTATTACTAGCATATGAGATTTATTTGCCATATCGATCAATACTGAATATCTGAGTGGAGGCTTATTTTACAAAAACTCGATTATAAGTACGACTGCATTATTTCATACATACGTTTTTATATAACAAATAGAAAATAATATGGAAAGCTTTATAAAAAAAATCACTTTGTTTGCCATAAAGGATGAACTGAACTTTTTGTCTGTAATCCATTGAAATAAAATCTCGAGAGTCTTGTCGCATAGAGACGTTATTTCATAGCGCACGAAAATTTACAACGCTGTATCTTCGGTAAACCTGGCCCGATTTCGATGAAAAAAAAAGTAATATTATTTAATTTACACGAACACGCGCATTTAATGCAGTAACTTTTATATGATAATTTTGATGTGCTGGTTCGATTCATTGTGCCTTGTTATTATTCTTGTAATTGAGTACACTAGGGTCAGAATATGCTAATGTATCCAATCAAGAGTACGAAACGGCACAATAGGAATGCCGATCGATCGTGATTGCGTTCGAGAGTAAGCATGCAGTTCCATATTATATATATGATACGGGACCCGCACGGGACGGGGCGGTTTAAATAAAATTCCGGAAAAGAGTTATAGGTGGTATACAGGGAAACGTGCAGGTAAAATAGTTGTACAGCGATAAAATTGAAAGAAGTTTAATATTCCAAATACAAAACACCTTAGGTAATGTGTTTGATTTTAATAAATAAAAAATTAGAACTAGGTTTAATACTAAATTATTATCTTTATAGTTACTACTAGTGGTAAGGAACATTATTATGTTGACGTTTGACTGTGCTCGTCATTGGCTTTAGCATTTTATGTACATTTAGTGTTATCTTAACGCATTTGAATGATTGATGAATGACTCAAATGGATAATATTCTATTTTATTTTTTAGACTCAAATTTTGATTTAGTTAAGGCGGAGAAAATACACCATACACTGTTTTTCTCGTAATATGTTTTAATATTTGTAAATAAAATTTTTCTTCGAAGGTAATAACTATAGTTCAGTCTCCAATCAAACAAAAATGCCATATGCCTAAAATATTTAGGCCACAGTATTAGGCGTAGTATAATTAATTTCTTTTACTACCTACCTACCATAGTTTATAAATGATATTATAAAAGGAATTATTTACAGTTGTATTTAGAGTTACAGAAATTTTACAAATTCTCCCCATATTCTAGCGTCCACGCAAATCCCGCATTGGGATCTCCACTCTTATCTGCTTGTTTTTGTATGTTTTCTGTTTTCTTTAGAATATTCTTAACGGTGTTATATAATTTTTCGTCATTGGGTATAACTCTTGCATCTTGGAGCTTTTCAGATCTTTCCTGAAATGATCCTGTTTTGCCAAAACGTTCTCGAACGAACCTTTCATACAAATCTTCATGGTCTTCTTCATCATTGGCATCCTCACCTTCAGGATCGGCTTCGTCTTCCTCGCGGTCACTTTTTTTCTTTTTGTAATCCTGTTTTTTGTTTTCTTTTCCATAATATCCATAATAATCGTGCTCATCATCATCGTCGTCATGATTGTCATAAGACTTTGTCTTTGTATTTGGTTTTGCTGCAGTTAATTCACCACTATAATGATAAAACCTGTCTTTTTCTTTTTGGTCACCATTCTTTTTGAGATAACTTGGTTCTTCATAGTTGTAATCTAAAACATCTTCAGGTAACTTTATTTCTGGCAACTTAATACCGACATCATCGAATTTGAAATGCAACTGTTCATCATAATTGACATCTATCGGTTTTAAAGCATCTAAGGTCCCTTCACTATTAGGAGTATTATTTTTTGACTTTGACTCATCGTTTTTATTGTTTGCTTTCTGATCGTTTTCATTTTCATTTTTGTGTTTATAATTTACAGGGATTCTTTCAAATTCTTGTTTTACATCTGTTTTTTCGTTTTCTTTATTGTCAGAAACAATTTCTTCGCTCTTTTCGTTTGAGTTAATTTTTGTTCCAAGAATAGTTTCTAAACTGTCATCTTTTTCTGATTCATTTTTCAGAGCTTGACTGGTATTTTCTTCGGGTGACTCACTATTATCACTATTTATTTCTACTACAGGTTTTATCTCTCCATCATTTATGCTTATAGGTTCTTTATTACTATCGTATTTATCATTGAGAGGTTCCGTTAAATCTTCAGCTGATGCTAATGATATTTGTTCACTGGACAAAGGAGGAGTTGTTTCTGGTTTTGATGGTGCTTTTATATTTAGTATTTTCTCTTTATTATTATTTTCACCTGTGGTTACAACTTGTCCTTTATCATTTACTTGAATTCTTTCATAACTAAAATCACCTAAATCAACATCTTGGATAGCGAGTGGTGTATTATGCGTGCCATTGGTTAGCTTTTCGGGGGTTATAGAATCTTTTACTGGTTTACTACGCAAATAAGATTTTTCTTTAATTTCTGCACTGTTTTCTTGTGAGTGTGTATCTTTATGTGATAGTGTGCCATCGGGGTTTTCATCTGAATCTTCCTTATATCTCAACTTTTCGATTCCTTTAGGTTGTTTGTTGCTTTCGCGATTGCCTTTGTATGTGAACTTATTATCTTCTGAAGAGTTAATATTTTCTCGGCTATCTTTTACTTCTTCTCTTGATTTAGAATCTCTTTCGTCACTTTCATCGCTATATTGCTTTCTCGAATGTAATTGTTGACTGCGGGGGTGAAAATCTTCTTTTTCTTCATATTTTTCAAAACTTTTATCGCTGCTTTCGGAACTGTCGTGCCTGTTGTTTTGGCCTTTAGGAGTGCTATATGCAGAATACTTGCGATCTTTTGAATGGCGTTCTTTGCTATCATCTTTTTCCTTGCTATTGTAATTTTCGCCACTTTCATTAGATTCTAAATTCTCACGACTAGAATTATCGTCATCTATATATTTACTATTTCTTTGACGTTTCGAAGAGTCGTTTCGTTCACCGCTGGCTTGTTTACTTTCCGAAGAATGTTCTCTTTCAGTACTTTCAACACTATTTGATCTATCGCTTTCTTTACTTTCTTCACTCGACCGAGATGAGGAATTTTTGTTGGCATGCACGGTTTCTATGTCAAAATCTGCTAAAGCTGCATTTTGTATTGATTTTCTTGTTAAAGGTTCTGATAATTTAATGTCTTCTGGTGAATGCAAAGTTTCATAGTTAACTATAAGTGGAGCAGTTTTACTTTCGCTCACAGTTATATTTTCATTTATAAGAGATCGTTTTTTCCTCAAACTATTCAAAGGGTGTGGTGATGATTTTTCATTAGTATACGATTTGCCATCATTCTTATACACATATTTCAGTACAGTTTCAGCTTTCGGAATTTCGTTTGAAAGGGCTAATTGCTTTAAGCACTCGTCTGTTGGTTCTTTAAGATCTTGTGTACAATCGTGTACACTTTGGGTATCCTTATTTCGAGTTGCTGTATGGTTGACTGAGATTTGTAAAGTAATAAGGTTATCACTTGGCGTTTGTTGGATTTGCTCTGTGTGGCCACTAGCTGTATTACAATCTGCATCACTTTTTGCGCTTCCTTTTTCTTCATTACCAACAGCTTTAGTAGGTATAGTAGGTGTCGCAAGTAGAGACTGTTCACAATTTGTATTATTATCGTCGATGATTTGCGCATCAGTTATCTGTAAAAGTAAAAATTTTATTAATAAACAACCATAATATGTATCACATGAATTACGAAAACATTATGTACTTACCAATTTATGGACAGTACTGCTTTTTCTAACTACCTCAGTTCAGTGTAGGTAATGCTTACTACTGTCTATTACAGGCAATAAAACAAATGTTTCCAGAAATCTGATATTTATTCCATTGTATGTACATAATTAATACTATTTTTTTCATGCGATACTAAATGTAACATTTTCAATAGATTTTCTATACGTGCTCAATAAATAATGATGTAAGAGCCCTCCATGAATTGGAAGTAACAAGGTATGGTAGTTTAATATTTTTTATAATTTACATGTAAACAAAATTATTATTTATTATTCGTGGAGAACTTACAATTTTGCTTGTTGATTGTCACATCATTATTTTTAAAACTTACTTAAGTTTCTGTGCTTAAGTGTTCGACAAGGATTGATATTACGTTCACACAACAAGCATACAACTAAGTGCGTACAACAAAAGCAGGCAAGATACTATTATAAAACTAGAACTACCAGACTATTGTGTAATTATAATTAATACTTGGGAGCGGACTCCTATGCTTTTAGCTATAACTCTAGCCTTAGGATTATGAAATCTTAGAGATATTAGTGCGAAATTCCGTTAAATTTTAATACTTTGAGTTGAATGAGTTAGTGACACTGTTTTCAAATGCATAATCATTATTCTTTATCGATTGTTCGTCGTTATTGAAGTACATGTCAAAGTAGTTTAATGAAACGTCATATCGCTATAACATCGCTAAGATATCGAATGCTATGAATAGCTAGTTGGGCAGTCGCCCCCTGGAGGTCATAGCTGCGCAAACAAGTTTTCATCATGACTATATTTTATTAATATTTTGAATCTCTATAATTTATATCCAGTCAATATTATAAATAACAAATATAGTATATATAACGCTATGAGTGTAACTATGACTTATTACAAAGTGCATAAAATAAAGTGTATCAAAATATATCATTAAGCTAATTAATTACTATGGCATTTAAGCGTTTGGCCCATGCTAAGCCTCAAACTAGATAATTTTGTACATAATACTTAATCTATTTATAAATAAAATTATCTCTTACTTAATGAAATTAATGTAGTATTTTTAAATTATTTTGACTTGAGTCTCGGGTCACTGGGTAATGTCACACCACAAACAACAAAAACTAAATATTATAACTTTTCACAACTTAAGTATTTGAACTAAGTATGTAATGATAATTATATATTATAATTGGTCCATTTTGCATTCACTGTACTATACTAAAAACTGTAAAATATTCCTTATGAAAATTTTTATATTATTTTATAGAAAAACTTTTTTTTACTTCTTCCTCTGTTTTTTAACGACAACCTTAGTGATGTTAATTGGTAGGTATATAAAAACAAAAATAAACAAATATTTAGCATATAACAGGATTCACATTGATCTTTAAAGATTTCTTACCGACAAACAGATTAATGATTTAATTTTTAATACTATTGCCTGATTTCTACAATTTACATTCTGTGTTGTATGCGTTGTGGCAATAACTTAATATAAAAAAATGTATTTAATCGTTTTTAAAATAAGGTTTTGTAATATTGTAATGTTTATTATATGCCACAACGCATACGTTGACTACTTAGTACAGACGTGCGGCATACATGGTATACAGAACATGTACACTATGCGCATATGCATGCAATACACAACAAAATACACAATCACAAGTGGTGTTATAAGTGATTTGTTCAAGTGGGTGCATACTACTTCTTGCCTAAGAAGGGGTCGTATGTGAAGCTACTTACGAATTGCTTGGCGGCACCACGGAATGGTGCCGGTTCCGCCCATTTAGTAAAGTCTATTGACGGCATGATACCGCTTTTACACGGCACTCGTGGGTTCCTAGAATTACGCAGAAAATTTTCCAATCAATTTCGAGATTTTATATTCGATCTCAACAGCGAACTGACTACTTATTTAAATACTCAATCATTTATTATCATATTTGCACATAATTGTATGTATATTACATTGAAAAGATTGTACTAATATAAGCGTGTGAATATGCAAGTAGGGAATGATTATTTAAAACGACAGGCAGATCTTTAAAAACATATTGAATTAATGTATAGGTTTGGGTTCAGGCAGATAAAACAAAAATATAAATTATATGTACAAAATTAATATCAAATAATTTATTTTTTACTATATTGGTTGAGTGTTTAATAATATGTTATTGAATGTCAGGTATTAATTTATATAGAACTTTTCATTTATTTAATTGTCAAAAGTAGGTATTTTTTATAAACGGCACTGCAATAAAATACTTACAATTCATGATCTGGGAGCACCATGGGATACAATTGTACCGTGTCTATGATATCAGTGTTGTCACAAATTACTCGCGCCAATCGCGCCTTTCTTATTTCTGTTAATTGTTCAGGTGTGAACGTTGAAGGTTGGTTGGGTAGTTCATACCTGTTAAGCATCAAAGTGTAATCAACAACAACAAAAATACATTAAACAAGTGTATAGTTGGAATACATTTGCCAAAATCTTACCAAAATCTATCACCGCGTCTTGAATAAGAAAATTGAGTTGCAATAATGCACGCAAAAGTGGGCCCCAACATTGATCCCGGGAGAGGTCTCTCAGACACACCTCCGGACCACAGATCAACATCAATGGGGTGTTCAAAGATAGATTCATATTTTCTCACGGTTTCGTTAGTCATTGTACCAAAGAGGTCTTGGAAAGTTTCTGCTCCTGGCAGACCACAGAACTTTCTGAACTCCATGTAACCAGGCAAACCGAATTCACGACCTCTTTGCATGTTAAATGATACCAGGTCCATTCCAAATCGTGCACCGACTTTCTTGAAGAGATGGTTGGTGACCTCTTGTGTGATTGAGTCGTCCATAGCTTGAGCCACTTGGTTCATTAGACCCATAACGTATTCGTCCATAACACCCGCTCTGTATAAATCATATGGTCTTCTAATCAGATCCGATAATCGTTTGGATGCTGGAATGTCATTAAAATTTGATTAAAATAAAATGTACTTATTATTACTGGAATAATTTCTCATCGATTTTATTCGAAATAAATATGAAATCTAATAACAATAGTTTATATCCACTGACCAATAAATTTGTGTGCTTTGGACCACCTTTCCACTGCAGTAGGCAATAAGGAGTGTCCAAAACGATAAGCAGCGGCGGCGAAAGCATCCAAGACATCGGGGTTCACTTCGGGGTCGTAACCTTCCCAGTAACCCTAAAATATTAAACCATTATTTAAAAATATATTTTTGGTTTATAACATACGATGAGTTAATATTATGTGATAACTAACCTCTTTCTCTAGAATTAATCCAAACTTCTCCATGACATCTTTACCAAGGAGTATGGGCAAGAATTCATTGTATGTAATGTGTTGGATCTCTGCGATATTGATGCGTCGTGCTTCTTGGTATAAAGTTTCGTCATCCCAATGGGGATTGACCTCGGCGAGGGCGTTTGCGATGCGGTTGTGTTCTCTGGCCATCAGTGTGTGCATAACGGTCAATACTAATTGTTCGTTAACTCGAATTTCACCTACAATTAATTTGAATAAATTAATAACATTTTAACATCCATTTATTTAGTTAATTTATTGCACATTAAATTGTATAATTGGCAGATTAAATATCTTAAGGTATTCAATACTATTTAACAGGAGAATTGAGATGTAAGGAGGTGCATACAATGTTTTAGTAAAACGGTGTCATATCGTCTTACCATACTTTATGGTCTTACCGAAAATAATTGAAATGAATGCATGGAATGATTTCTATCCTAATATCTTACTAATGTTATAAAGAGATAAAGTTTCAAATTTTGTTTGTTTGATTCGATCACCACAATTTTGCACTTCCGGAAAGCTACATCATATGCAGGTCAAAGCTGCATCACATAGGCTATAATTTAAGCCGACGAGGTTGCGGGAAAACAGCTAGTATTAGATAAAAAGTTGATTTGATCATCTTACCGGCTTCAAAACAGTACATGTTCTTGTTGGGTCGTGTGCAACCTTCATCAGGAATGTCTAATTTCAGCGGAAGGAGATCTCTTAAACCATATTCCTTGAAAACTGGGTTCATACGCAAAAGGCCACCGTATCCTGTACGTAGCTTTCTGGAATGAATTTTAAAAACGACAAAATTAGATACATTGTTTGTGATATAAATTGGCTTCTTAATCGTTTTTTTTATTTTATTAAAAATTATGATCAGAATATGGCAAATTAAAATAAGAAAATATATAAATATTACAGCAAAAATAACAATACGAAAAAATAGGAACAAAATTGTGTACTGAATAAAACTTAACCTGTATTTTACTACTGATAAAAACTTCTTTCAGTTTTGTGAGTGTCAATTAATTGTCCAATCTCGATGGCGCAATGTTTTGCGTGTTTTTGGTTAAGCAACTTTTGTAAGGGCCGATCATAGGATGGGTGACCAAAATATTATCTCGAGCTTTGGACGGCATGTTAAGCCGTTGACTCCGGTTGCATCTGCAGTCGTTAACACCCAGCAATCTGTCCTGGACCCCATAGGTTATGGCCCAGTGAGATAGGGGTTCGATTCGATTCCATCCCATCCATAGGCAAGGTCTGCACTCCATTGGTCGGAGTGGGGAATTAATAGTTTGATGTATAATCCGCCAAATAATGTAAAATTAAGATATATAAGCATTACTTTACCTTGCAAACTTCTCAGTGACACCATACACGGTATTCCCGTCAATGGCACCAGTCAATGTGTTGAACGGTACTCTTGATCCTAAAACACAACTAAAGTTATATATCAAGACGTCAAATGATACATAGAGCTACTTTATAAACATAATGACAGCATAAAATATGAACGTGCCGTCTATAACCATTAGCCACTTGGTTAAATAATTAAGTTATACCATTCTAATGGAATTAAATGTCAGTTATTTAATCATCTAGCGAGTTGTCAGCCTTCGAGGCTAGTATACCTTAATTGTGGAATATATATAAGCTTATATATTAAATATTCAAATAGTTTTACCGCTCCAGTACACGAGTATCGAAATACAAATTGCGCATTCGTTGAAGTGCTGGTAATAAAACGGTCGGATCACTCGCGCCAAATTATTTCTTAACGCCGTGTTTGCATAAGCTTGATTCTGACGAATTGCAATTTTTCTCAAGTGATCTGTCTTAGATTAAGTAAATGGGAGGAATCTGACCTGCTTTTCATTATTATCGAGATAAGAGAAACCGTGTAGGTAATCTTTAGCAAGAATTAGTTTTGCAAGTAGAGAGAGTTGTAATTTACTTAGTTTCACTAGTCTTTGTATAACACTGAATCAACACTACTTATATTAAATATAGCAAACTTCAAACTATACGTTGGCTTTATTGCCAATAATTATTTTAGAATCCTACTTATTCTAAATGTTACATAAAGATTTAAAAATAATAATGTACTCAATTTATGAATTTTTGTCACAAACAAAATATTTTCTAACAAGTTTTCAATTATTATTAAAGGTTTTATTCGATGATTAATTTAAAACCTGTACATTCTATCCCCGCAAAGAAGATGATAACTGATATTAATACCTTATAGAAAGGCTGTTGAACGTCGGCGTCAAATAGGATTAGACGGTGCTAACAGTATTTTTCTCTATATTGCGTAATCGCACTTTTCCCTCTCACCGGCAGATGATACCGTGAACGGACCGGTCACATGATTTGCTCTGACCTCGCAACAATTACACAGCTTGGTGTATTTTTGCAACGTTCATTTAATGGATGGTTGTATAACATGGCCGTTAGAGGAAGTTGTTAACTTTGTAATTCAGTTTTAAACTGACGAATGGAAATTCTTGAGCTTCAACGTATTCGCATCTTTTACAACAGAATTTACGGCGCGTTGATGTCTTTTGTTCGTGCGTTTCTCAACAATATATTTTTGTAAGAAGCTAGTTGATTTAATTTGTCATTTCATTGATTTTACATAAATTTGTGTTATATTTTTTAGAATTACAAAATATATCGACAGTAACTTTTCAATCTTTCGTTAATCTATGTTAAAGCTGCAGGTTGCACAGATTATTTAAAATAAAAAAGTATATATACATTGATCTGAACGGGAATCTTAAAGATGATGACCTATTGAAACCTGAGTACGAGCTATTTTTACAAACTTCGCTGATTATAACTCAATATATTTAAAAAAATGTCGCTTGGATCTTATCGTAATAACTCTGATAGACCTTGACATAAGAATAATCGAGAATCAAGTAACGAATGTTTTAATGGAACATTATTAGAAGTTTCATATTTATATGTACTAATACGAGTGTTATACCGCAAATAAACCTCAAAGTAGCCAAATGTGTCATTGCCTAAGCGTCGAGTGTGGTCAAGAGATCAGGTTGTTATTTAGAGATCGATTAGCTATCTATTTTAATAAGTTTTGAATGAAATTATTTTCGCCCATTATTTTTTCTTGTCTCATATCTCTACTGAAGAAAAGAAAATCCTCTTTAAGCTCCGATTAAGTATACATTTAGTAGACCACAGTCCGACACTTATATTTCAAATAGACATAGTTACTGTCCGAAATGTCTAATTATATATGGCAGATAAAAACCATATCATCAAATCAATAAAATCATATCAGCGATCTATTAAATGACGAAAGCACTTTAAACATAGGAATAAAAAACGTATTAGAAACTCACTTTCAATTAACAATTGAACTACTTGGTTGAATTCAGTGACGTATTTAACCTAGGGCTAGGTGGTAGGCAGAATATTAAAATACTTTATGGTTGTATTATTAAAGATTACAGTATATCTCACCCAGACGGCAGCCAGGACGTGGAGAAGGGAATCCTCTCACGAAATCTATGCACTTGACTCCGAACAGTCTATAGAAGTAGTCGTCTTCAGGTACCCTGATTTCGTTGCAGTAAGGATGCTTAAGGTGGGGAGGACGTTTGCAGCACTCCTCGGGATCATTGCGGTTAACCGGGTCTAAATAAAGGATTATTAGATAACATCACACGTATGTCTTAAATCACTAAGCGAAGACGAAGCCTTTTGTATGACGATAGTGTGACACAAAAAATATTCAAGACGATCCAAAAAAATATATTGAACTGACAATTCAACACGGAGCGGACATTCCAGACGATCAACATGCCGGTGCATGTGAGCCATTCAGCCGCTCGGTCGATCAAGGAAGAATAACAACTAATAGGAACTAAAGAGATAATTAAATATCACCACTTAACGCGCGAACGTATTTAGACACGAGAGTATAACGCCTGAAACATTTTTACCAGTTTAATTTAGAGTGATGTGGGGACTGTTTTAAAATTTCGTCTATTTTCAAAATGTTAATACCACTCCGAAGAAATACATTTTTCGATAATTTATGTAGTTACAGTAGGATACTATCTCTGTTGCACAGATAATTTTATAGATTCGATTTTAACAAAGTTATAAGAACGATTCCAAATCTTTCAAATTGTCAAATGTTCGAGATCAATTGTGTAATGTTAATTAGTACAAGTTACATAGATAAACAACTACAACGAAACCTTTCATTTGAAATGTTTAATGATTCACGGTTTTGGCTTGATCAATAATTAAGAAAAATTAAATTAATGTAAGTATAAATTATTATTATTAGTTATATAAATATTAGTCGAAGTAAAACATAAAGTGAATTCAGTTAAGTTCTATTAGATCTTTAGTGGTACTTTTTCGAATCCTTTTCGTTACAAAGTTTAATTATTAAAACAAATTATACCCGCTTCTTATACAGTGAATAAGTCAAATCTAAATTGTAAAATCTTCATTCGTGAAATTAGTTCATTTTCGTAAAATTGAAAAAAAATACATATACAAAAAAAAACAACTTTAATTACTTACCAAGAGGAGTACCAGTGAGGGTATAGTCGTGATCCATAAATTGTCCCCAAGCTATGACCATGACTGTGCCAGCGTGGTCGTGGAATCCTTCATCCGGATGCATGGTTCGGGATACTACTCTTGATAGCGGTAAGTCCCGTCCAGAGTGAGAAATGCGCGGGGAATTGATGCCATCGGCAAATAGCGGGCCCAACAATCTTAAGGAAATTAATCATATTTATTTACAACTAGCTGTTTTCCAGCGACTTCGCCCGCATAAATTATAGCCTATATCAGCTTCGTATGTTGTAGCATCCCGTAGGTGAAAGAATATGTAAAATTGGTCCAATAGTTTCAGAGAATATTTGATGCAGACAAACAAACAATGAAGTCTTTCCTCTTTATAATATCAGTATAGATGTACACGATTTTATCACTTTAATGTTTTTTTTATTTTCATAATAAAGGTTGTCTTATTTTTATAGAAATTTTCATATTTAATGGTAAAGGAAAGGAGGAATTGATAAAATGATTAAGTATAGAAGTTTATTAAGGCAGTAGTCGTGATAGTAGATAGAGCCGGTAATGAAATAGAAGGACTCAGTTTGAAAGTATTACGGAAGCGGATCTACGCACTTGCAACAATAGAATTAATGAGAATTATAATACGGCAATAGATATAGGAATATTTATAAAAATAACAGAAAAAAATGTGATGATTGTATACGTTACAAAAATCTTAAAAACATCGAATACAGGCTACTAATGACTAGTGAAATCGACTCCCCGACTGCGGAGGATTTATTTTAAGGCATGTCTTCCAAATATCCCCCAAACAGTATCGACGCAATAAAAATAATCCTACGTACTCCTAAAATACTCCTAATACTCCTACTATGAAGTAGAGTTGATATGCTCATTACCTTTGAAATGGAGCGTTAGTTGCACCCCAAGTGGGATGTTGTAGATTATTACAGAGTCCATCCAGTCGTCTGTACTTGCCAGCTCTACACTCCACATGGGAAAACACTGGTGGGCACACGTCTCTGATGAGCGTGCGGGATGTATCGATCAATGGTAGACCTTTCTCGATTTCCTCGTAAGTGAGACCATATCTGTCGAAACAATAATTGTGTATGTTAATAACTTTAGATGTAGGTGTGAATTATATCTCGATTATAAAGTTTTCACACTAATTTATATAGATATCAACAAACAAACATCTTGAAACAATGGCTGCTGATGGTATCGACAGACACTTATATAACGAGACCGTTAATAAATTAACTGAGACTGCAGACATATTTTGTTGTTCTCTGAGTAAATTTCTAAAAACGGCACTTTATATATTATGTTATAAATAAAAATTAGAATAAATCTATACTTATTAACTTTGTTGCTTAACTACCTAACTATGGTATTGAACCATTACATTACCTGTAATAATAGATTAAGCCTGTATAAATAGAAAAGCTAAATCACGCTCTAAAAAGTTTGAAATAAGAAATTTATTTTATACTGATAGCTATATTATAGGTAATATCGACGGCCGCGTAGTCGTATGCCACTGAACATAACAAAATAAACAGTTTAGTTTATAGGAATAGCTATATTATTTATAATAGCAATGACCAAAGGACAGCGTAGCCACAACAAATATACTACATATACGGATATATATGCGTTCCGAATCATAACGCCGAAACCGATTATATTTTATCTAATCGAAAGTCATGTGTGAAATTTTCAGCCCAAGCTTATGATATGTTTAAGATAGTTCAAACAATTATTTAAATTAAAGATTTTACTTTGAAAATTATAGGCCATATTGAAATGATTTCGTTTATATTTTACAACTAGTAATTTGGTAACAGCGTTAAAATGCCAAGGTTTATTGCGCTGGCGATGTAACGTAGTTATACATGTGATTTAAGTATATCATTAAAAGCAACAATTAGTAAAAGAAATAAAAATAGTATAATCTTAAAATTAAATATTTAAGCAAAATAAATTATTGTTTATTTTTACAATAACTTTTGAGGTATGATGATAAACAAATAGCACGATAAATTAATTTCCGTTTCGATGAAATTAACTAAATCTTTGTGGAGACGATATAATTGATATATTTTTTTTAAATACAGCTAGAGAACTAGTCTGTCATTATTTAATTACAATATTTATTATTTGTGTGCACAGTCAAAATAAATTCGTTTTGTTTTTGTTTATCAGTTCTCCTACTATAACACAGTTTCAAGACAAGTCCTTTTTATTTCTGAAATTATACGTACATATTCTTTCATAAAATATAATTTCAGTATATTTAAGTCTCCCGTAGAGCCATTCAATAATTGAAAGCCAGTATTCACTTGTAAGAACCGCTCGTAAAGCTTTTAAATAATATTCAATAAATAGACTTCTTTTGTATGATGTACAAGAGACAGCGCCATTAATAGACATTCTATGATGAATTTGGTCACCATAGTCTGATGAAAAATACAGCAATATAATCTGGCATGGTTCAGACTTTTTGGACTATTATGTTACTCCTGAAAACTAAATAGTTGCTTTGAATAAAGTGAAATAAGTGAAAGCAACTTCGTCAGCAGAAGGGGGAGCAGGTTTTCACTGGTAATATCACTTAAAACATAAGAATAGAATAAAAAACATTCATAAATAAACGAAATAGAAAAGAATAACACGCGACGTTGTCTCGGCCCTAAGCCAATCTAAGATGTTATCCTAACCTAATTACTATAATCGGCCAACTTCATGGAACACAAAATGTTAATTCTAACGCGATAAGGAAAAGAGTATTAGTTTAATATAAATTTCATTAAATAATAACATGTTTTTTTTGTAGAAGATTTATGATTCTGGATCCCTTTGCATCAACACATTTCATAATTCAAAAGAATGTTTGTTTTGCATTTCTGTACAATGTCGTAATGTGTTATTTTTCGACGTCTCAAAACCCTCAAGCGGTAACATAACGTTTATGGTCACAAAGAAAGCAGTCCACTACAAATTGAACTGCATAAAAGAAGACGAGATGTAATGCTCCAACTGGTTACGTCATTCTGTATTTTGAAAGTTCTTGCTGACAATAACACATTGTGATTCACAGATTATATGATTATGATTATTATAAAATGTAATTTATTATTGTGAACATGTTATTACTTAGTGTATTAGTTCATTCATTTTTAAATGACTTGCGTATGATAATGTGACAGGAGTACGAATATATTTAAAGTACCGCACCTTAAGAAGAAGAAAAAATTAATGCAGGAGCACTGGTTTTTCCCTCTATCTATCTATCTGTCTGTCCCCCATTTTCACCAAAACTAGTAATCGAATTGAGTTGAAATTTGACTGTACTGTACAGTCAACAGCACGTCAGGCAATATAAAACTGCCAAAGTTCTCCACTTCATTTAATGCATCGTAAGTAGAGTTTAAAATATAACGAGTAACAACTCAAATAAATGAATTTTGAACAATGAATATTTGTCCTTTAGGGGTCTAAATTATTACGTTGGATGCGGCAAAAGTAAGGGACTTTGACGCCCCTGCTTTAATATGTTTCTTTGTATTATTATATTTGATCAATTTCTCATTCTTCAAATTTCAATGATAAACAACGCGTCGAAACGAATATGTTTCTACGTTTCGATGAGTTGTACTATATTGTAATCTTTGGTAATGTGCCATGAAGATTTATATAGGTACTATGTGTTTTATTATAAACAAACTTAAATGGAAAATTAAAAAGTCTCGATAAATAATTCTATCTAATGATATTGACCAATGCGTAAACAAAAAGTTTGATGTGTTGCAAAACATAGTGCCAAGAAAATACCATTTGAAACAGTTTCACTAAAGAATCTCGAAATCGTGTCCATAATGGAGTATACCACAGTCTAGGTGCTCTGAAAGAGTATCATTTAAATGCTGGAAAATATTATTATTTGTTTTATTTGGTAACTCAACAGCTTGTTTACATTAACTAGAACCATAAACTTATATAATAGTACTTAAAAAAGTCCAAAACTTCAATGTCCAAAACAATAGTTAATTGTATGTTGATTTAACATTGAAATTTGAAGAATTTTAAAAATATAAGCTTTAGTTACATTAGATAATTTGATATTTAAGACTTACTAAGTGATAATGTCAATTACACAGCAACGTATTACATCAAACAAGGAGAATTAGAAAGAAAAGAACAACAGTGACAAGACCAACACACATATATAACATGTACTAATGTAATTAGTTATGTTAAAAAAGGATTAAATACATAATACTATATATATTGAAAGTGATATGATTAGTGAATTATAGACATAATTACTGAGAGAAAACCCGTTTTAGTGACTTTTTTAAAGAATATTTATTTATGTTAAAAATATCTATGTGTTTAAATCTTTTGTTGTATGATCTGGGTAGACAGGACATAACAGAAGCGTAATTAGTGTAATATGTGTGCATATAAAACAAGGGCGTCTGTTTCGTACGGTATTTTGGGGTACAAAAACTGAGTTCTGAGAGAAGAATGGGAGCATCCGGATTATTTAATACTTGTTAACTCTCGGTGCATAAAACCGACTCGCTCTTGGCTGGTTCTTTAAACACAGACAATAGTGTTAGATTACATCCGTAGTTTGTTAACATAAATTTAATTAGTGTAACAATACAAAAACGGTTAAATACATTAGCAATTTATTGTAATGAAGTGAGAGTTAATAATTTACTCATGTAAAATAACTTTGTGTGTTGTATACATACTTCTATAATTTAACAAGTTTCTTAATTCTTTAGGTTTTGAGCCTTATAGTTTTGTTGTCATATTATTTTTTTATTATTCTTGAGTTATCTTATTAAACGTGTTCAAAGTCCACGTGTAAGTGTGCATTATCTTTATATTAAATTCAGTCTAAATAAATAACTGCCCCCCAAAACTAAAATAATTTATTAAAATTGCTTTTTATTTGTATGGCTGCGCTTTGCTTATCTAATAGGTACACTGGTTAAAATGAAAATACTGATGATCAACACACACCTACCAGTAACTACAGGGTCTAGAAAATTTTAAATTAGGACATTGGTCCTTTATTTGTGT